CGACCATGCAACCCGTGCGACGTTTCAAACGTAAGCGGTCATGTTTGGTTGTTAAGAAAATATATGGCACTCTAACCTCAAGGAGATCGCGAGATTTGAATCCACCTTTCTCATATGTCTATGTTATTTGGTACGAGTCGCGATAGATCGCTGTCTCAGCTGGAGCAAACACATCTACAAACACATCAAGCGCGGGCAAATGTGCGGCGAGATGATTCTCCTCAGTCTCTATGGCCATGACATGTCGGTAAAGATCGCTGTGCTCTTTATGAGTTACTTGTTCCCTCTCTGGCTTAGTTTTCATCTTAATGCATACGGTAACTGAGGCGCTGAACAGAGAAAACAATCCATCAAGTAAATGAAATTGGTTGCCAAATCGCGGACCCACGGGCAGTGAACCTGGTCTTGCATGACAAACAGACCTCTCAGCACAAGGCCGTTTCGAACGAAACCACCCACCAATGTCACCTTTTCCCCTGAGGGTGTGTCATCACAATAGCCGAGTCATTTAAAACACGACAGCCGGAAATGAAAAGTCGACAGCGGGATAAGACGGTCCTCATCCTGCCTAAATTAGAGTATAAAATGTCTAAGGTTTTTATGGCTCTGAACTTTGGAAAGGTCAGTGCTCTCGGCTTAAAAAATATTGTAAGATGATGCAAAAAATATTCAGAAGGTTGCCAGCTCTTTTTAAACAAATGTGAATGAGCACGATTTCTACTGCGCTTAATGCGCTCTCGGTATTGAATTATTGGCTCTTCAGATGTGCTATCTACATTTGCTACACACATGTATGCAGCCTGCCGTAAAACCCTTAGCCCTGCCGTTGGCAGGGGCGTAAAAATGTACACGTAAATACAGAATATGACGTCACCACGCGAGAAGGCTGCGCCAGCTTCAGAGGCCTGTCTGCTGCAGCCAGGGGAATGCATCGCCCGTCCATCCACCGGCGGCAAAAAGTGTGGCGGTGGGGTGGTGGTGTTCACAGTCAATGCCAGACATGTCCCACATGCGTGATATACATCCCCAAGACTGGCCAGAAGTGCACGCTTCGGTGCGTCACGAGCTTCTTGGAGAGCTGCGGGTGAATAACACACAGACCCACGAGGCCGCTACCGCTACTAGGTACTGGAAACAGGCGACAGTCGACCGGTCCAGTGTTCCGTCGAACGTGCTGCACCGTTTGTGGCTTTCCGACCCGAAAAGGTGTCAGTTTTGTGCGAGGTAACCCTGATGGTGGTTCCTAAGCCTTGATGCTTATATAGGACACCCCAAACTCTAAGTCAGGCCAAACAACCAGGTCATGAGTGCTGGAAAAATGACCGAAAAAGGTTTAAATCCCGTTGCTCTCTGCTGGATGTGGCTCAGTTTAAGTGTATATACTGGTATGGTATGTATATACTTGTGTGGTGTATATACTGGTATGGATATCACGACAGTAACTCTTCAGAGTTCTAAGCTATGGCAAAGTGATAGCACTGGACAGTTTTGAGGCCTGCAACGCCTCACTTAGCAGGCGATGCACTTTTTCTGATCGAGGGACGATTAACGTATGCTGCGCTGGAAGTTTCAGTACGTGGTGTGTATTGAAATACTCCACATGAGTTCTGATATCAGTTGGCTTAGTGCAGTCGAATAGTACCATTGGCCTGATGTGATCGTAAAATATCCGTTCCCAGAGAAAGGGCTTAGAACGCGTATTGGATCCTAAATGTCTGGCATGTGCCATTATCTCAAGGCCGTAGCACGTGACGTCACACGGTCCGGCGGAGACCGTGCCACAAGCAGAGCGGCACCGCGCGGCAGCATGGCCGTGAAGAAAAGACAGCTTCTTCGGTTGCGCCGCTGGATCACCAAACCACGCATCGCGGAGAGGCTCCTCATGCACATTAATTCATGTCGTCTGGCAAGTGCGTGATCTATGGCTATTCTGAGCCTTAAGACGAGCATATATAACACGACAGGCTCAACTAGTGACATTGCTAGTGCCGTGGCTATTGCTCACTGGCGCCAAAAGCACACAGTTGCGTGGTAAAAGCATGAGCATGTTAAAATCAACAAAACTTCCGCTTATTTAGCCGATGCATCAGCAATCTCTCATAACACCCTCCCGGATCTCGGTCAACTCCCAGGCGCTGGCAGCCAAAGACAGATCGTGGAAAGCAGTCGCGACGGGCGCCTGGTTTTCCGCGGATGGTGATTGCGGAATCACGAGCCGCTCACCCCTTCCCACCGCGTCGCATGTTAAGTGGTGGCGCCGTGCCGTCGGGCGCCATCTATTTCGGTCGATCCGTGTTTGCGCCAGTCAGCCGCGGGATTCCCGGCGGCTGGGGCAGATCGCCGGCTGCCTTCCTCGCCGGCCTCAGCTGCTGCTGCGGCCGCACCCAGCTCAGGCTCACCGTTGACGCTCACGGGCTGCTGGCGGTGCAGGCGACTCCACTGAACTCCCCCCGGGGCCGCCACCGTGGTCCAGCGGCTGGGGCGGCGTTTGTATTCTTTGGGACTGTATGTGACCTATGGCGCTGTGCCGGCATCAGCCGTGGCTGGTTGGTGGATAGCATACCGTCTTTACGCGACAATGACCAGTGCACTCGTCAAGGGAGGCAAAACGAGCAGCGCGATGCATTCGGGATAACATGTGTACGCATTCCTGGTGAGTGAAGGGTAAACTGGCTCGCTTCCATCCCGAGCTCCGAAATCTTCGACCTGACATTGGCGCCAGACTGGTTTTAGGGAGCTGTGCTGATCTGGGGAAGTTCTGATCATTGCATAATTGATGAGGGTGGGAAAGCCACGAGCCATCTTCGGCGAATTGTTCCGGCTCCGGAGGCGTTTTCGCGGAAGATCAGTATTCCTGGCCGTTGCCGAAACGTGCTCGCCTCAAATATCCATGGACAGGTGAGGTCGCTTGCCAGCTCTTGCGGCATAACTCGTGACAGGGCTCTCGCCATGTTACAGAATATCTCGTAGATCGTTGTGTAGCGCTTTTGGATCTGGGTATTGGGTAATGGCGACTCAAGCACGCAACATGTTAACGAGAGGCAAAGAGGTCCTCCGGTGCTTGCTGGCTATGTTCTTCTACTCTCGATTTTTACTCCTTCTTCACTGACCGTTGCGCCTTATTCAGTTTCCGGTCCTAGTCTGTTTTCGCCTGCGACTCAGGCGTGTTTCGTGGGCGTTTCGTAGGCTTTTTCCGGTGCGAAGTACGGATTTCCATCCTGCAATGATGATAATGGCTTCGGCAGCGCGGACTTCCGTCGTACAATGGTGATAATGGCCTCAACGGCCCAAATTCCATCGTACTATAGTGATGATGGCCTCAACGGCCCAATTTCCTTCGTACGATGGTGATGATGGCCTCAACGGCCCCAATTCCATCGTACAATGATGATGATGGTCTCAACGGCCCAAAGTCCATGGTACAGTAGTGATGATGGCATCAACGGCCCAAATTCCATCGTACAATGGCGACCAGGACTTCGTGAAAACTGATAGACCTTCGCTGAATATGCTGTTCCCCACCGTAATCGACCGTAATCCTGTCACAAACCACTAGGAAAAGGTTGTAAATTATGAAATGTCACCTTAAGAAACGTCAGGACAGGTGGTCGCTCGTCGAACACCGTTTCCGAAGCTATGCGACCAGTTTTAACGGGCTGGACACTTCCGTTGCCATTACACGGTTTGTAGACTTGTCAGGCATTTTGCTTTGCTCGTGACTCTTTGGTCGGACGAAATATGTCTGCTTATTGTTAAAAATGGCTATGACGAGGTCTTTTAATGGCCTTTTCAGTTTTCGTCCGATTGACCGATAAGATCCTGAGATGACAGTGGGTCGAAAGCAGACCCGTGGGTGGCCAAGTGCACAAGACGTCGTTGGGCTAGTGCAAACCGTCAGTGCTATGCAATCATCGAGTTTTCAACAACCAGTTCGGTGTGCATCAGCAACAGGGGGACGGCAACATACCCGGGCTACCGTCATTCATCCCGAAGTCACCAATGCCCACTCAGAAGGAGAGCGTCAGCCGTCAAATCTTGTCAGAGCCACATAACGCATGTCAGAGCGCAAGGCATAACCGACATTCCGTGAGAAATTGTACACTTTCTGCACGCATTGGTGTTGGCCAATACGCCGCAATCACAATGTCTACTATTGCAAGCTTGCAAGCTTTTAAGCACCGTTTCGATTGCGCATTTTGTGGGTACGTTATATTCAATTCAATGCTGCTCTTGTCGAGCTGGATAGACCTCCAGGAGCAATAAATGAAGCCACATCACCGTAATCAGACTTGCCCCCTATGGATCCACTATCGATGGCTTATAATTATTTTGAGCCGTTGGAATTCGTTAAACGTTTGGGAAAGACGCAAACTGTATTGACGCAGACTCTATGTCATTAATCGATGATGAAGACGTAAATGATGCCTGGACGTTGGCAGTTCTGCACGATAAATGATCCGCATAACCAACTTGTTTATTCCTCTCAAAGAAGCTCCAACTGAGTATGAAAATCCTTGGAGTTAGCTGTCGTCGAAAATGCTATTTTAGGATTTCGCCGACCATTCCATAGCTTTTTAAGTACAGTTGAAATGACACTGTGGACTCCGAACACCATGGGAAACGTAGATCAAGACATTGTTTGTTTCATTACTTCCGAATAAACTTTGCCTGCAAAATATGTAAACATATGCCACACTTTGCCATTTATTGTAGCACCAGTACAAAATGCTCAGAAATAATCTTACAATTACATGAGAATGAACGGTTCAGGTAGAAATGCAAGGTGGCAAATCGAATGCGCGAAAGTACACTATGTACGCTGACGTCCACACTCGTAACACCAATGTCCCGTGAACAAACACCGACGCGACCGTTCGGCTTCACATCACTACTCAAAGTCGTTGGGTGATGCTGGCTGGGCCGGCCGCGGGCGCGTGCGGGGTGAAAGCCCGCGACCGGCGACAATGTCTGGATCACAACGCGCCCGCGCGCGCGACGTCTCACACGGACACCTTCTTCACCGTTTTCTTCAGCGTGTCCAGCTTCTCGGAGAGCGAGGCCTTGCTGAGGTCGGGCACGGACGTCTTCAGCGGGGAGGTGGTGAACTTGTTGGGGCGCGGGCGTGGGGCGGCCGCGAGCCGCCCGAGATGAAGTTGCCCAGCTTGCGGCCCACGTCCGAAGACTGAGAACTTGCGCGCGGGCGCCCCGGCTGCGGTGTGTGGAGGCCGGAAGCCTGCCGAGCCGGCCGACGAGGCCGACGAGGTGGCGCCGGAGCAGACGCTCTCGCCGTCGCTGGTGCGAGCCCTCGCTGTCCCGCGCCGCCGCAGCCGTCGCCGCCGTCGCCGGGCGCAGCTCCACCGGCGACACGATGTCCACCAGCTGGGTCTCGCCATGGGTGGGCAGCTGGAGGCGGCCGCGCGGCCGGCGCCGGCGCAGGCTGCCGACGCCCGCCTCGGCGCCCGCCGCCGGCCGCCTGCGCCTGGCCGCGGCCGGCGCGTGGCAGGCTGGAGAAGGCGCTTCGCAGCGCATCCATGCCCGAGCGGCGCCGCTTCAGCGCCAGACACTGCCGGATCACGGTGTGGAAGAGCGCGCTGATCTCCTCGGACGAGTCAGAGGCGCTCACCTCCTCGCGCTGGCAGCCCAGCCGGAGCGCCGTCTCCAGGGCTAGCGTCGAGTCCACCTGCGGCAGAAGCGTCCACCGTCAGGCCGTGGCACGGCCGGCTACGCCAGACGCCTGCGTAAACAGAGCTGTGTTGGGGAAGCTTCAGGCTGAGGTGTACTGCTTAGGATTATTTACCAGTCTTGTTTAGGTTACGAAGCCTACGTGCAAAGTTTGAATCTGAAGAAATATGATGTTGGGATACTGTGGGCAATATTTGTCTATCATACGCTGAGATGAATGAAAGCTGAGGCGATGCCTAGATCACGGTTTTCCTCGGATCTCGCTGAAGTCATTACCAACGCCATAATCATCAGATCTTGAGAAAGTCAGTGTCAAAACAGTCTCGCTCACGTCAAACGAAACTGTTTCGTGAAGCGGCACCAAGGTCAGCAAGCTATCGGGGCTGCAACAAATAACGATGAGACTTAAAACCATGAATTTTCAAAAAAATCTGCACACACAAGTAATGCGAGATCAGCGGATTCGAGCACCAGTCTGTATTGACCGCTGCATTAGTTTCTCGTTGATGAGCGGGCATTCCAGTGACGGATTGCCCGGGACTCCAGAGTCCAGCGGCCCGCCAAGCAGCCGTGCAATGCGGCACAGCATCTTCCCCAGTCCGCGGGCGTCATTTCTCCCCGACGCCGCTGCCCCATGGCTGCCACCGCTGCGGCGTGATGACGTCACAGCCCCGACACGAGCCGCTGCCGTGTCGACCCCGCGCGCTGACCTTGGTCAGGTGGATGAGGTCGGTTTTGTTGCCGACTAGGATGGTGGGCGCGGTCGGCTCGCCGGTGTCCCCGCTGGCAGGCCGCTGCGGCGTGGCCGCCCTCTTGCGGCGGCCGGCCGGGCTCTTGGAGCCGTCGCGGACCGGGGCCGTGCGTAGGCCGGCGCCCGTCCGGCGAAGCTCCTCCAGCAGGTGGCGCGCGTGCTCGAACGAGTCGGGCTCGGTCACCGCGTACACGAGCAGGAAGCCCTCGGCCCAGCTGCGGATGTTGTTGTGCACCAGTGCGCCGCTCTGCAATGGCAGAAAGCTGGGTGACGTCACAGCGCAAAGGTCACCGGGTCGTGTCGCACCGAATCCCACGGTCTTCTGTAATGCACTGCTGTAGATGGGGAAAACCTGCCTCACGCGTGATGTCACGGTACGCACACTGCATAAATCAGATCATAGCGGTTAAGTGTTTCGTGCGGCTGGCACTTTCACCGCTTTGACGCGGAAACGAAAACAAAATGCTGTGCCAGCGAGCAGCGCCAAAAGTGCTAGGATGTGAACCCTAGCCACGAGTCCCAGCATATGCGTCACTAATTTAGTGGCACTTAAGCATCAAGGGTCGTGACGAGAGGCGATCCGGACCTTCGGAGAGCCCACGGTGCCGGAATCTGGCACAGTTCTGTGAAGCGGCTCCGCGCCCGGCGCCAGCGCGACCGCTCGCTGCCTCGAGTCCGCGGTCTGTGGGGCGTGCCGTTGCCCGGGTCGCGTGGCGCCGCCACGGGGCATCGGCCAAACGGGGCCGGGCGGAGTCGTCGCCCCGTCTGGCGCGCTCGTCAGTGTCGTCCCGGTGACCCGGCGGGCCCCGGCGCCGGTGACGGGGCGGGGAGCTGGGGCCGACGCCGACGCCGGCCGGAGCTGGCAGCCGCCCGGACAGCGGCCGTCAGCGCGGCGCGCTGGAAAACAGCTCGGCCCGGCGCCACCAGCCGCCGACGGCGCCGCCAACACGGTCCGCTGCACCGACTCGGCGCCCCGTGTTTGGGTGCCTGTTCCGATGGAAACGAACCAAGGACTCCCCGGGGCCGACTCAGAGGCGTTTCCCGCGCGCAGTTTCTGACTTCAGTGTCATATCCCTCATGGTCTTGTGGCTGGCATAACTAGCGAGAGCTACCCGGAAGGCGTCATATCCTAGGGTAGCAGATGCTGGTGCAGCGTTAGGCAACAATCATGCCAGTGCGCTTATAGCCTACTAACATAACACCACTGTTGCAGTAAATTGTCTCTATGTGACTCAGGCGTCCACCCGGTGCCCCACATTGTCGAGCGCATGTGTTCTGGCAGGGCGCACCAGCTGCCCGCCGCTCGAGCGGAACAGTCTGACCTCTCACCGCGCTGGCCCCCTGCCGCGACTGCCAGGTGGCTGCTATCAGATCTGGCCGTGTCATTTGGACCCGTTTGTGCCGTGGCAACTCACGCGTTATGCTGGATAATATTTGTGAGACTTCTCACCTCCCAGACGGCGCGCCCCAGTTCTGTGTTTTCCCTGGGTGGGTGTCGAAAAAGCCAGAGCAGGCAGATCTACTGAAAAGCGTTTACTCCCGCCGCCAAAATTAGTCCTTATCGCTCACCGCCGGGCCTATACCTGTCGTGTTAGTCCAGTTTCTTGAGTTTACAACAAACACCGCATCCATCAGCAGAACGTAGTGCCGCCATAAATACATGGCCGTCTAGCGCTCAAATAACGCGATAATGAAAATACTGGCAGATGACAAGATAGGATTATTGATGAGTCCGCGAAGAGACGACGGTTGCTCATGAATCGTGACCCCAAGCCCATGGCGCAAGATACGGCGTCCCATGCTGCCACCTTTCTGGAAGACCAATGTGGTGGGGCGAAGCCGACTGCCAGTCCACGAAGCGCCAACAGGATGCATTAAATAATCTCTGGGATGGATGCTGGGGCTGGCCGGCCCTCTTCCTAGAACGGTGTCAGGAGCCGACAATCAGCCCGCGTCAGTACCAGTCAGGAGGGAGATGGACCATGACTCACCGGGGCTGCAGCTGCTCACAGACTCAGCGAGGTAGGAGTGGGCGAGGCAAAGGCCGCCGTCGGCAGCTAGGCTGTTGTTCAGCGCAGCAGCACACGGCCCGGGTCATGCATTTGTAATCAGGCTTGATTTTTCCGTGGAAGTTGCAAGCATGGAATCGTCTAAGGGACATCGTCAGGATCACCGGTTGGCGTGTCGTTTATACTCAGAGCACGGGCTTTTTTACCTAGGATGTTGCGTTCCACGACGTCGCCACCAGGCAACATCACATGGACCGGACGTCTGGGCGACAATACCTGAACACTGGTGTCTCTGCCGGGGCTGCTTCTAAAATGGTGTCCTGACGATTACTGCGTCTGGACTAATGGGTCTGGGAGTATGTCTAGTCTACGCTGAATGTATTCACCAGGACGCGTGTTCTGGGCTCCCACATTACCTGGACTGAAGTTGAGACATCGATGATGTCCACTTTTATCGTTGATCCATCCAGCTTGATCACCTGATGGTACATCATATCTGCAACGCAGGGAGGCCGCCGTCACATTTGATAATAATTGCATATCCCTTCCCAGAACGAAAGCTATCATCGCTTTTCCTTTGGTAGCTCATGTTAATACTTTGGCTCACAAGTTACGGGAGCAGTTGCCGTTGGCTTGAAACACCTCCATTATCCAAGGCAACCAATGTTCACACAACGCACTACCAGTTTAACGACTAATGCAACAGGGGTGCCATTGCAAGTAGTAAGCAGTTGGCAGCAGGCACACTGCTATCGAGCCATGCCGCGTTGATTGACATGTGATCGAAGGCCGAGGCGCCCCTGGATCGGCGTCACTGTCTCACCTGTGTTTGACTTGTACTCGCCGATAAACCGATGCGTCAGATAACGAACCGTGATGGCTGCAAGTTGAAACAACACCGTTACCAAGGCACACCAGCTCCGAGACCGGCACAAGCCAATGCCGCAATACGCTACATGGGTCAAGAGCTCAGAACACGATATGAAATATCTATAAGTGGTGTCGTATATCCTGACATGGCGAACGCAGGTACAAGTGCCCTTAAAGCCGCCCATTGTAATCTACGACGCCGCTGGGCTCTGTTGTAGGACAAATGCACCTGAATGCAGTGTTACCACATTTGATGTTATGTAAGTGTACCGTTACCGCCATGTACACACCGGTGAAAGACCACACGCGACCAACGACTGTGCTCCCTTAGCCATTCACAAAACAAATTCCGGACCGTTTCCCCTCCCTCCCTCGATTCGGTCCTCACGCGCTCCAGCGAGGCGTGCGCCGGTGCGCCGGCACACCGATACACCGGTACGCCGGTACGCCGGCACATCGGTGCGCCGGTACGCCGGTACGCCGGTACGCCGGTACGCCGGTACGCCGGTACGCCGGTACGCCAGTGCGCCGGTACGCCAGTACGCCGATACGCCGGTACGCTGGTCCGCTGACCCCTCACCTGACTTGCCGACGCCCTGCATGCCGAGCACGGCTATGCGCACCGTCTCGTCGGCGGCGCCGAGCTCGGCCAGCGTGTCCAGGTCGGGGCACATGTCCACCGTGGGCGGCGGCCGCATCACGCCACGCACAGGACTGCCGCCTGAAACACAGCAGGCCGGCCTTCTGAGGGCAGGGTCCGACCGGAGCGGGCTATTTCAGACGGAGGCGGGCTGGGTACGACAGGAGTGGGCCTTCTAAGACGGAGGCGGGCCGGCTCGACGCGAGCGGGCCAGGTTAGACGGAGGCGGGCAGGGTCTGACGGGAGCTGGCCAGGTCAGACGGAGGCGGACAGGGTCCGACGGGAGCGGGCTAGGTCAGACGGAGGCGGGCTGGGTACGACGGGAGCGGGCTAGGTCAGACGGAGGCGGGCTGGGTCCGACGGGAGCGGGCTAGGTCAGACGGAGGCGGGCTGGGTCCGACGGGAGCGGGCTAGGTCAGACGGAGGCGGGCTGGGTACGACGGAGGCGGGCTAGGTCAGACGGAGGCGGGCTGGGTACGACGGAGGCAGGACTTCTAAAACGGGGGCGGACCGGCTCGACGGTGCGGACTGGCTCGGACGGAGGCGGACAGCAAGAGCGACGTAAAGAACGTCTCTCAAAATAAACAATACCACGGTGGACGGAAAAGCATAAATGAATATTCATTAGTTACCGGACACACAAACCATTTGGTCTTGTTATTGTAGCGAGATGCATCAAAATGCATGAGTTTTGAGCTGCAAAGGAACTATATCTGTTTTTCCCGTGTGCATTTAAGTAAACCAAACACGGTATGGCAGCTTATCATGTTTTTTTAACGCAACACACGTCACCACGCGTGCTTTTATGGAGCACGCCAAGAACGCAGTAGAACCACCTGGCGCAAGACGGCTATGAAGATTGTTTAAAATTATCCACAACACGTCCAGAAAGATAGTACATATTCATGAGAAATGAATGACAGCAACGAAGTAAATCAAATAAATCAAACATGATGAAAACCGATAAGAAATGCAATAGTTCACGGCCACGCAAGGGACTGCTAAATAGATCACTCAGATGCTGTTCATGATTTGTGGGCCGTTCCCGGCGCCACACAGCGTGTACAACTGCCAACAGAGTGGCCGCCATTCCGCCAGTCACGCAGCACCGGCTCCGGGGCCGGGCAAGGTCAGTCCTCGGCAGGCTTTTCCAGCTGGAGCGGCGCGCAGTGCAGTCCTGAGGCGCCCGAGGCGTAGTTGGGCGCGGGGTCACTCAGAATCCACCGGATGCAGCGCGACCGACCGGCGCCTCTGAAGGAGCGGCGCCGGCGCTGAGCTGGCTCCAAGCCATAACCCTTGCCCTTCCCTTCCCTGCCCTGCCCTCCCACGCCACCAGCCGGCACGTCGATCGGACACTCGGATTTTTGGAGCAGGGCAGGCAGCAGGCATTAGTGGCTGGGGCAGAGCCGGCCGGCCGGCACCGGCCTGTAGCGGCTGCCGGGTTATGAAGGGACGCTCGCGCGGGCTCGCGGTCGCGTAACCGGGAAGCACGCAGGAAGCGGCAGCTGCACGATACCTCATAAAACCTCCCACCTGCTCCCTATCATCTGAACAAGGCCTTCAAAGTAGCTATATATGAAGAAAGCAGCTCCTTGAGTTGTGCTTCTTGGAAATGGTCATCAGAAGGTGGTGGCATTGTCCTGCGTTTTGCTACCATCAAGTTAGATCTATTGAGGGAATTGATGAGCCATTTACTGTGGGGCGTTCGAAGCCCCTTTCAATTTTGGACTAGAACGCCGGATCAAGTGAAGCCAGTAAACTAAAATTTTTGACACAATTCAACACATGCTCAACATATCCTGCATACAAAATTAATTCTGAGTCATCCTAGGTACAATCGAAGTACCGTACTAAAATTTATCGAAAGTGGATGATCTTTAGTCTTCAAGTCTGGTGTTAACGCTTACTGCTTTCAGCCGGCAACAGCCTTATCATTTATGGCACGAGTCATGAAACCACAGTTGTGTGTTTAACTGTCATATCATTTAAGCATACCTGCAATGACGTCATAACTTGAGCCTTTTAACAAAATAGGTTTCTGATATTGTTCCATACTTTTGTATGCCGTCTTTAAATCTCATATTGCTCATGAGTGACTTTTCGTGTGAACAGTCAGCAACTTAACGCGTATCATCCTAAAACCCATCTCAAGTTAGATCGCCTCTGAAAAGCATCAGGCAACCAATTACTGAAAGTGTGACTTACTTTTGAATTTTTTAATTTCAATGTAAGAGCCATCTGAGGTCACGCTACGTTATACTCAATGCGGTAACCGTACAGTGCAGACATTACGTGGAGGCAGTTTACGAGCCTAAAATAAATTGGTCCCGAGACACATAATGTTTCGCACTGAGGCCAAAGCTATACTGAACTCTTCGGTCAGCATAATTTAGGGGGTCAGTGCACGCATTTTGAAGGATAACCAGCATATTTGATGGTCAATGGATGACTCTATATCAACCATGCTAAACATTTAAAGGCGAGCCTGGTTAGGTACAACGGCGTTCAAACTTTTAGATGACTTGACCTGAAATTGTAAGCACGTAAGTAATTGACACATAGCGTACACAACTGTTCGTCTTTATAGAAAAGGAATCCTGACTAGATGCCATTCTGAGTGAATGGTCCACCTAATCTCGATCTCTCCGTGCATCGAAATTGATCCGCAATTTTGGACAACTTTCAATGCAATTATAGTCACGTGGCCTGTGACGTCACCAGTGGCCTGCAGCTTAATAAAATCATGTGTTATTACGTGTTTGAGTAGGAGTTACTTGTTACTAACAATACTTAGTATGTGTTGTCACCCCTATCAGTGGATTGATTCGCGATGTGACTTAAATGAGGCATTAAGAACTGCCTCTGTGCCCCCTCCCCCTCTAAAGAGAAGGGCGGCGAATACCGAAAAGCAGCCCGTTTCTCTTCTCTTGGGTGCAGAAGCATGATGCGCGGATAACGACACGGGGTATCTTAACAAGTACTGGGGAGTGTTATCATAAGTGTCACGAGAACTAGTTTGACATTATAACGAACGATATCATTGCTAAAATGCACAATGTCCGCTCAACCATGACGGGAATACCTAAGCGGTTTACCATAGGACAGAGTCTTGGCGGCTGCTGCCGGGAGGCTCATCTTCCGGTACAGTGTCCCGCGGCGCCGTGCCCGGACGCCGGCGGGCTGCTGTGCCGATCACGCGTCTCCCGAACGCGGGAGTCGGCCCCGTCAGTCGGGCGTTTTGCGCAGCTCGTCCCGCTGTCGGCTCGCTGCTGGCGACCTTCCGCAGCCGGCGCCGCCATCAGTTTGGCAGCTGTCGACACGTACGACGGACAGCGCCCGCCGTCGAGCTGGCAGAGGCGCAGCCGCCGGGGGCCGCTCCACGGCCACGACGCGTCGGCCCGCTGCGCCCGGCCCCAGGAAAGTTCGGGTAGGCCCGTTGCGCCCGGCCCCAGGGAAGTTCGGGTAGGCCCGTTGCGCCCGGCCCCAGGAAAGTTCGGGTAGGCCCGTTGCGCCCGGCCCCAGGGAAGTTCGGGTAGGCCCGTTGCGCCCGGCCTCAGGGAAGCTCGGCATAGGCCCGCCGCGCCCGGCCCTAGGGAAGCTCAAACCGACCCTGTGTCGGTCTGTGCTCCGGGTCCGTACACATACGCAGGAAATTCGTAGTCGAGCGACAGGCCGACTCTGGCCTCTGTTTGTGGTATGGTGAAGCGCCGAACATGACTTTCGCTTACGGTTTTATGGGCATGGCGTTGAATAGCTCCTCACGTCTGGTGCTTGCACCCTGAAAGCGTCCAATGAATGCTGGTGTATATTCAATTTGTAAATTTTCCTGACTAGCCGCCACTTCAGTTATAACAGCCACGAATGATTGCACAGCTGCTTTCCAAAATTATGGAAAGTACTTACAATACTTCTGATTCTGGCCACACTCAATAGCAATACTCTAATTGAATTGATGATATCCTCATGTGTCAGCTGCATATTAAAGATGCGTTTCTATATCTGCCTATAGGCTACACTAGCTAGGCAGGAGAATACAGACCTAGAGCGAGGGAGTGGCGCGAAGAGCGAGCCAAAGCAATGGTTCTCTTCTTGTTTGTGCACATGGCGATAAAACAACCTTCGGTTTACCAGGCACCACTTCTAATCACCTGTTTGTTTTTCTCCCAAGCTACGTACACATACACACACACAGAAGCCAACAGAACCGGGCTTATCCGGCCTCCGTGGCCAGGTGTCTATTAGCACAGAACGTGAGGTCTCAGTGTCAGTGAGCCCACTGAATGGGATGTTGTGTAAATTGTAAACACCCTGAAAAGTATGCCACCCCAGTTTACCGCAGACCTTCTGCATGTTTGTTTGACCTTGCGGGGCTGGAACTTGCGCTCCTTAAAAACGCTGTCTAGCTCTCCATGAAAAAACCGCCCCATCGGCCAACCCGCGAGCAGACTCGGCCTGCGGTGGTATGCTGTGCCGCAGTGCCGCCAAGCCGTGCGGCACATCCGTGCGTGTCCCGATGAGCCCCATCCCGTCCGGCCTCGCTGCCGCGGCGGCTCGGGGCGGGCCGCGTCGGGCGGCGGTCGGGACCGGGAGACGGCACCGGTCCGTCTGCTCCGTCCGTTCCGCTCTGAATCTGCGCGTGTCGCGCGGTGTCGCGCGGCCAGAAATAGCCCGCCGCGCCGGAGGCCGCCGCCGATCGCGGGCATTCTCGAGGCGGACGCCGATGGGCGCCTCGCCGCCGAGGGATGCGGTGGCAGCCGAGAGGAGCAGGCGCAGGCGCTACGGCTGGGTTACAGTGCTCGCCAACATCACAACGCCTTCGAGGCGGCCTGCAGGTTGACCTTCGAGGTCCTGGGGGCCGCCGGAAGCGAGCGAGTTCGTCGGCTGCAGTGGTGCCATGCCGTCGCTCCACGTGCCAAGTCCGCCAGGCTGTCGGTCTGGGTGGCGCTGGCGCTAGAGCGTCCTCCGGATGACACAGGCCGCTGACTGAGACGCCGTCAGCGCGCAGCACAGTGACACGCTCTTGTGACTCACTTGTTAGCTGCCTTCTGGCGGGCTGGATAAACACAGCTGCCAGAGGGGGCACCTGCTGGGAGCCCGCGGACGGACGAGACGGGCACACGCGGGCGTCGCGAACAAAGTGCCGTTTTCTTCGTGTGGATGCGAGTATAGGGGCAGGTTTGGCCACGGGACATACATCCGTCGCGGTAAGAACAAAGGAGGCCGTGGGTGGCAGCCACGACCGCAGCATTGGAGTATGGCTAGGGGAAAAGCCGAGTGCATGAGGACGGGTCCTTACAGCTGGCACTCGGTGGAAGGTCAATGTCGGGGTGGTCCTCGTTACCAGGCTGGCAATTAAAGCAGGCTGTTCCGGGTTAGCCGAGCAAGGTCGTCTGGCTGGCGGAGAGGCGGCTGCTGCTCAGCGTCGCTTTGAGCTAGTGTTTGTTCACATAAATCCCCGCAGACCTTGGGCCTCTGCAGCCAAGGTTCCCTCTTATATAATCTCAAAATCCACACTGATAGCACTATGGAAAGTGTGAACATATCGGAACTTTGAGTTAGAGCTGCGGTACGAGGAGTCACAAACCTATAGTTAAAATACAAGAAAGACAATGAAACCCTCATGACATTTGAAATAGCAGTGCGTTGAACGCTTGAGTGCAGTTTTGCAGTCTTCCAGGTTAGGTTAGGCATCGCGCCAGTTGACCCGCAAATTCAGCCTATTTCGTTTCGGCCAGTCCCATACAAAAAGGAGCGAAACGCAAGGCAGCCGTTCTTAGCTCGACCGCCCTTCAGCATCCAATGGGTTTCCATTGTCCTTGCGCTCTGACATCAGCGTCTTGACCTCGTTTACTGACTCACGTACATCATGTCTGCCTGTGCGTGAACTGTAGTGTCTTTCATCTGTTCGTGAGAGTGCCTAACAAGGTTCACGAATGGATCACAGCCTGGAAGAACACCAGCGGACCTGCCAATGGGTAGTGAGCGAAGAATTAATCGGCGTTTTCCAGGCCGATATTGCTGGCGCAACCACCCCCTGCCAGGGCACCTCTGGTCCGGTTACCTCTGGTCCGGTCGCCCCAGCCCGGACACCCCTGGCCCGAACACCTCTGGTCCGAACACCTCCGGTCCGGACACCTCCGGTCCGGACACCTCCGGGCCGGACACCTCCGGTCCGGACACCTCCGGTCCAGACACCACCGGCCGGACACCTCCGGTCCAGACACCTCTGGGCCGGACACCTCCGGTCCGGACACCTCCGGGCCGGTTACCGCTGGTGCGGTCAGCACGCCGCCGGCCGCCGACATTCCTGCGTAGTCAGCAGAGCGGCCGTGTCGGCGGCGCCATCCGGCACGTCCGGCTGTCAGCGGCGCCGCCTCCGCGCGCCACGACCCCGATCAGGCGCGACCGATGGCGGCGCCCCCGGCGCCGAGATGGCCGGCGCCAGCGGCCCGGCAGCCGGCCAGCGGCCGCCCGGAAACGGTGACGTCACCGCCCGCCGAGCTCGGCTGACACGGATACCGTTCAGGTTCGCTGTGCCCGGACCCGCTCCAAGACACCACACCCGGTCGTGCGACTGGTGCGAAATGATTTGTCCCGGTAATTTGATTCTGGCTCTTAGCCACACCACGCGGCATGCGGTGGCAGGCAGTGTGATGTCATGCATCGGCTGTGCCAAGCTGTACGGTCGTGCACCTGACCGATGCACCCTGCCGCGAACCACCCCAGCGCTCTGGAAGGAAGGCGTGCCCTCTGCGTAGCACCTCGCAGAATCTGGAGAACAAGATCATTTCGGCGAAGTGATGCTTGGACTAGCCGCATTAACATCACATTTCCACAAAGTGTTGCGCCTGCCTGCTTTGAATACGTTACAAACTGCCAGGCGCTACCCTGCCAAGCCAGGTGATGGTCAAACGTAACGTGGCCAATTATAAAGAAAAGCTGGAATAGGTCATCTTCATTGTTGGCAACGTTGTGCTCAGGAAACAGGCAACTGGCGGAAACTTTCGTCAGGGTGCGAGGATAAGTGCCAATATTCACCGAATCCTCCGACTTTGGACAGAACCAATACAGAACAACTCAGCATCTAGTCTGAACTTGTTTTAGATCCACGAGGAGGATATTGCTCACTTGCTTCCTTCGCCATGATTACGCCCCTGTCTGGAATCCAGAAAAAGGTGCATGCATGCATAATAAAATGGTTTTAGTTGAGGGGCAGAGTTACGTAGCGCTTGGAAGCAAAACGCTCTTGGGTTCCACTTCTTACCGAAAGACCAATGCTAAATGTCCCTTAAATGTTGGTGGGCCAAATGCAAGGTTTTACGAACCTTGGGGTCGGGTGATGCACCCTGCTCTCCCCGAGTTTCCATGTCGTCAGAGCCGGGCATTTATGTTCTCGAGGGACTTCGTAAAATCAGATGTGTTGAATATACCGAGGTGCAGGTTTCCGAATCAAAAGCTGATGACGAAGCCTATCGTAAGGAAATGCTGCTTTAAAATTGTCAACCATATTCCGCAACGGTGGAAGCGGCCGATCGGAACTGGGGAGAAAAGGCAGAGTTGTTCCCATCTCTGGAAATGTCGAACATTAACTTTGTGTTTAATATCAGCGTAGTGAAGTCAAATATTAATAACGAGTCGAGAATAGAGGTGTTTCGAGGGGAATGGAAGGGAGCGAAGACCAGATGACCCTTAAACGTGACATCAATGTTTGTCTTTGTGTTTTGGTGTCCGCTCTGGTAATTCGGGTCTGACATTGAATGGAACGAAGTAAACATGGAGAGCGAGCAAGATGCATACCTCAATAGGGGTAAAAATTTCCAGCAGCGTTCATCTCCCTATTGCCGTGTGTTGCCATGTATGGTAAATATGCTGCGTACCCACACATCCTTAAAACCTTGCCCTTTCATCACATTCCGCTCATTGAAAAGGAATGTGCCGTTTCTAGGATTTCGGGAGAGCATTCACACACAAGGAGTGGTGGTCTACTGAACATCGACACAGCAACCACCCCATAGCCAATAACTCTTACTACAAGAACAGGCAGCCTCGCTTTACACCCAATTCGGGTAACAAATTTGGGAATGTTAACTAAGACTGCTTATTCCCGTTATGCGGTTGGATGGCAAGGTGGCATGTTTCCTGATGAACAAAAGTTTTATCCATTCCCATGGTATGCACCAGAAGAACAGCTAGAACGATACAAATAATCCAAAATGCAGTATGATTCATGTCTACAAGCTTTTGATATTTTGCAACGCAGATTCCAATCAATGGACGTCGAAAAAACCCGTCTCGTTCCAAATTTTCTAAGCATTGAGCGATCCCCCTCCGAAAATATCTAATTTTGATCTGTTGTCAAAAGTCGTTGAAGCATCATCGACATCAGTGATCCTTAAATGTGTGATACCAAATTGTGCTTTTTCGCGCGTGTGATAAAGGGCTTGGTTGACTTCGGCTGACGACTAATTCCAAAGTTGTTCGAGATACCACAGCTCCACCAAACTGCGTGACTCCGCACACATGCGCGGGTGTGGTCGTGGTACCGCAGCCTCTGTGGCATCTCGGAGTGATCCGCGCCGGCTGGTGCCCGGTCACCGGAGCCACGGCCGCGGCCGTCCCCACCGAACACCGTCCGGCTGTCTGCGCTTACCTTTCCTGAGGATGCTGTCCTTGCGGAGGACCAGCTCGGCCGGGGCGCCGTGCGCAGCGAGCGGCCCCGCCACCGTCTCCAGCTTCGTCGCCTGACCCAGCTCGGGGCTCCCACTGCTCGCGCACCTGCACGCGAGCTGTGCGCGCCGCGTGGAAGGCGGTCCGCCACAGGTCCGACCACCAACTGGCGGCCAGCGCCGCCGTCCGCCGCTGGCCCCCGAGCTGTGACGTCACCCTGGCAGGGCGGCGGCGGGGGGGGGGGGGGGGCGTGAGGGAGGAGCGTTCTGTCCACCGCCGGCGCCGGCGTCGGTCGCCGCGGCTCGGTTAGCTGGGAGGAGATGGCAGTGGGGGCGCGGAGACACCTGCCGCGTGAACTCTGGCGTCATTAACCCCATTCTGAGTGTCGAGTTAGGTTAAGATGCGTGGCACATGGGAGTTATGAATCTTCCAACGTGCTAATGCTCTGTGCCCAGGGAGTCTCGTGCTGCCCCCACGCTTTAAAGCTTTAAGACGGGCGTCCCCATTCCCGCAATGCCACGCTTATGACTGTTCCGGCGCGTCAGGCAAACGTCAAGTCTCCCAATTTGTTTAAAAGAATATTAGGGCAATGTATTGTAGCGCCTTTTTGTATGAGTACCGACATGCTAGCGGCGACGAGAGATTGGTTGCTCGCTATTCATGTTTGAACGCAGGTCATGTAGTGTATCGATGTCCACCACCGCACGCGGCGTCAGCTGAGTAGTGACCCCACATTCTGGCTACTCATGGCGCCACGATAGCTAGGTATTTTGAGAAATCACGTCAACTCAGTTTGTCAGTCTCTGTGCGCATTTGGGTTGCCGCTAACTCATGAGCTGCCACTGTCTTTGTGGACAATGCTGCAATGTCATCAACAAAAATACCCGCATTCTCAAAGAACCCCATCATTGAGCAAATGCATCACCTGGACAAAATACTACTCAAATACCACTCTGGTATTTGAGTAGTATTTTGTATGTATGTATTTTTATTTTATGTATGGATTTTATTTTATGAATTTCGTATATATGTATTTTTATCCGGTATTTGAGTAGTATTGAGTAGTATGGAGTCCATCTGGCCCAGACAAGCAAAACAAAACAAAACAAAAGAAAACAAAACGCTCACTGCAGTCTTTTCAGGGCCCACATTTTCACCAGGGGCGCGGACAGGATTTTCTTAAGCGGGGGGCGGGGACGGAACTAACAGAGAAAATTGTTAATGTTTTCTCGGCAACAATCCATGGTGAACAAAAATGAAGAGGGGAAGGGGAACGGGAGAAGGGCAGGTTCCTTGGCCACACCGCTGGTTATGACGTTTTGTTTACATCCTTTCTTCGGCCCTGCTCACGCTCAACACCGTCGACAGCCATAACATGCTGGCACCGCAGCTGTGCCGAGGAATTCGCACTCAAAGAAAGAGGCGGAGAGAGCTGCTTTCCACTACTACATAAAGGTGGGCTGAGAGGAATGTAAACATCCAGAGCCGTGTTCCAAGTACCATCCCTTTGCCCAGATTCCGACCTTCTGACTCAGCATGAGGCTGAAGTAGATGATCACGTAGGTTTGGGACAGTAACAGGGGAGGGAAGGGGAGACGACAAACTATTTTCATCGTGTTCCGAAACATAACTTGATAAAGGCAAATGCAAGATGCAAAACTCGAAGTGCAATGCAACGTAACGCTATACAAAACGAAATCCGTCATAAAAGGCATTATGCGGCTGCATCAGTCCCATCATAAACTGCATGATATGATGCAGTGAGACCGGCGATAATTCTCGACACCTGGTGGTTTGCCTGCCGCTGTTATCCAACGCATTGTAATCATGAGTTCCCCGATCCTTTTTACGAGCTTGGCATCCTTCCCGTGCATCTCCCTGCCACCTTGCTGTTGGAAGTGGCCACATCCTCTACAGACACTAGCTAACTGGCTGGTGGTGCCTGCTTTGTAGCAGTGCCATCTTCTCAGAAGACGCGACATTTGATAATGCCAGCGCGGTTGTAGCGACCTGAGTCGTAGAACTTGGCCACCCCGACCTTGGCTAGTGCTAGGCGTATCTTGTTAGGACCCTGGTGACTGGTTGCATGCATTTTTTACGCCACGTACATGAAAATATAACTTAAACACATCAAACCCCCGTTCTCGGCGCGTACAGGCATGAACATACATGCCTCGCGCAGAGCGTATACAATTTGTGTGGTGTGTGGCCTGTGTTCTAGCACATCTGACAGAAGGGTGGCGGCTGAGCCGGAGCCGACCGCAGCGGCTGCCGATCAGCGACCGCGGCGGCGAGCGGCTACCACGAGAGCCACACGCGCTCGTCTGCGGCCAGGTCACGCCGGACCAGCGCAGCGGCTGCCAGCGGTGCCCCGCGCCCTCCGGCCATCCGGCTGACTTCAGGTCACCCAAGACCACCGCAGCGGGTGCCAGCGGTGCCCTGTACCCTCCGGCCATCCGTCTACGGTCAGGTCACGCCTGACCACCGCAGTGGATGGCAGCGGTGTCCCGCGCCCTCCAGCCATCCGTCTGCGGTCAGGTCACGCCGGACCACCGCAGCGGATGGCAGCGGTGCCCCGCGCCCTCCAGCCGTCCGGCTGATCTCGGGTGACACAAGACCACCGCAGCGGGTGCCAGCTGTGCCCAACGCCCTCCAGCCACCCGGCTGGTCACCCAGCGGCTCGCTGTCGTTCGTACACGACCAGCGTCGGACGACGCGGTGCGGGACCGACACCATCAGCAGCGACGAGATGGCTCACCAGGCACTGCCAACAGACGCCGCTGGGATCAGAAGGACCAAAGCCGGGCGATCATGCCAACTGACTGCTGTCACGGCCCCTGCGGCGATCATCTAGGCACCTCCTGGGACGGCAGCTCTCCACCGAGGCGCTCCCAGGCGAGCAGGCACGCACTGGCCAGTGAGCAGCAGCCGTGGCACCCGCTGTGGCCCTGCCCTTGGCGACTGCAGCTGCAGGCCTGCGTCGGCCCGCCGGGACGACGCCGTGACGCCGCCTCATTCATGGCTGCTCGGCCGGTCACTCGCCGCTCGCCAAGTTTAAATGCGTAACACTGTTATTCTGGACGGATGAAAATAAACACCGCCGACGGGGTTTTGGCCGTGAAACCACAAATGACTTATAGAGGACATCTTCGTGGCTACCTGTAGCGTCACATTTCACAGAGCGCTGTGCTGCGCAAGAGCTGCTCGGGCAAGCAGATGCGACTCGGTTGTCTCATGAGAGGAACTGGGCTTGCTGAAAAATCGTTTTTGCATTCCATTTGTATAAGCATGCCGCAGAAAGAGGGCTGTTCTTGGTCCATGTATTATTCTCGCTTTTGTCAATGAATTTTATTTTCCCACTGCAGCAATTTGTTGCATAGTTTCGGCGTTACCATCAAAAGACTACGGCGGGTAACTACGGTAATGATCATGAGGTAGCGGTGCTCCAATACGACAGTGTTTTAGACTGGCGTTACGTCCCGAGCAAAGCGCAAAGGTCACGGTATTTGAGCTCCGGATTTGTTGAGATTAAAAGGCAGCGTCATGGAACTGAATCTTCTGCCCGTGCATGACGAAATGAATAAAAAAAGCTTTGGACGAATCCAAGCCCTTTAGGCGTTTTAGGCGGCTGGGGAGGCGAGCGGACTTCCAGACAGGAGTGTTACAGATTATCATACGAAAGGCAGCTGACCTCAGTGTGAGGCCAGGGCAGGCTTACCGTCGGCGTCACATCCTCTAGTGCACTTTTGTAGAAGCATAACTGTTGAGTTCTTGCTCAGTCGCATCTAATTTCACAAATTCACAACTGCTTTCCAAGCGGCAGTTTATGAAGAAATCCCACCTTTTCGAACGTTACGCAGCGGATTTGTCGGGAGACCGTAACGCTGTAGGACGGATGGCACATGACGTAGCCCAGAGCCACAGTGATGCGTGGTTTGACCTCACGCGCTCCTCCCACCTGTCTGCACGCTGGCAGACACCGTTCCTGAACTTGGTGAGAACTTCGGAGCTTAAACTCTTTGGTCGCTTGGCCGTTCACGTGTCTTTTAAATGACGCATGCCATCAGAAGAAGTCCTAAGGGATGCAAGAAAACAACTGCGTTAAAGCTTGCTGCGAAGCGTTTGTGCAAAGAACGACTTACAAGCAGCTGCTGATCAGCAGAATTCGCCTCAGCATAAAATGGGCGCCTGGGCGCCTACGATCCGTAGAAATATTCATGCCATAGTTCAGGGCAAGGAGTAGCTCACCATTCTATCATTAATAAAAGGGCTGAGACAGGGTGTCAAAATTTTCCCTGCAATGACCTGCAATGACACAGCCATTTGTAGTGGAAGCCCTGCACCAAATATATTCCATATGCCAGGTTGTTGACCGAAAGATGAATTCCGGAACAAGGGGGATTTAGGATTTCATTAAGAGGGGTACCACCCAACATTATAGGTCTCTCCAAAACTGGTGTTGCTGCCATTTAACTTGAAGATAGATGTATAACACACACACACACACACACACACACACACACACACACACACACACACACACACACACACACACACACACACACACACACACACACACACACACACACACACACACACACATATATATATATGTATATATATATATATATATATATATATATATATATATATATATATATATATATACATATATATATGTATATATATATATATATATACATATATCTGTATTAAAAAATAAATATAAATATATATATATATATATATATATAAGTAGTAAACATGGAGCCCACATTACTCTGCGCAGCTATAGGAAGAAAGCTAGGCGTGTTAGTATGCATATCTATGGAGCTTCTGCACTTTCTCCAGATCATGATGAATTCTGTAATCACAAGCTAAGTTTTTCTTAAAACGGGCAAAATAAATCAAAGTTGGGTGCTAAATGCCATCAAAAGAAACAACAACATGGTTCCTAAGCCTTTTTATCGCTAGTCGGCTGGTCGATGTAATCAGCTGGTGGTTGATGACTAATACAGATATTTTCCTTTTCATAAAGGAATACAAAGCATCTTAGGGCTCAAAATCTATCAACAACACAACGTGCCAAGTACAGTTAGTGTCACACATTAACCAGCTAATGGAAATGACACATACGACATCGGCGGCACGTAACATTACCTCACACAATTACATGCAAAAATTTATCAGCCCATATCCGACTGCTGCTCTAAGGCTCAACATCAAGGTCGATAGGGACAGAGCCTAAGCGATGATGGGTGCCGCGGAATACCAACTAAGAGGCTTTCGTCAACAAGCATAGAGTATTCAGAGCAAGCGAGAAGAACTCAAGACCAGTGTGATGGGCTCCTGAACGAACAGTAATGCTCCGGTAGGCTGACATATGGGACCCTGGCCAGAGCACAGGGTCCTCTGAACAGAGGGAAATTACAGAATACCAGTGTAATGAATTAATGGCACTGTGCAATCAAGCGTGCCCGGACAGGTAAGAAGAAAGGACCCCAATAGAAGTGAAAGGGCCTCGGCAAATGGGATCAAGAAGAAAAAGCCCTAGTTCAAAGCAAAGGGCCCCTGAACATCGCGTGGCTCGGTACCTTACCATATTTGAACTTCAAACTTCAGCAACAGTACATGGCCCTCCAAGCAAATGGAAAGAATCCGACACCGATTTGAAGGGCCCGGGAGCAACTGAGTGTATCCTGGCATACGCGGCCCGCAAGATGCGTACACAACCTGTCGGGCGAATGGAAAGAATCGTGGAGGAAAACAAGACCGATCATGAGTGCCCAGATATGTAAGCACATAGTGTCCCAACAGCAGCATAAGGCCCAGCGAGAAAGGGCAAGTATATCAAGGACAACGTGGAGGGCTCCTTAGCGATCCGATTGGCCCAGGAAGTAGACATG